TACCAGGCGTCTATATGTTCAGCTGGAGATAGTGCTGCATATCATAGGGCTTCTGTGTTTGGTGATGATGTGGTCATAGTGGCGTAAGTTATCCTATTTTAACTTGTAAATCAAGTTGCACATCTTCTAAGAAAGATGATTCAATTTGTTGTATATGCCTCAAATATAAATTTGCTTTTAACTTGTTGTAGTGCCTATCGAACTGCACTCTGCAAGTCAAAGAGAGGGGGCTTCAAGGATACTTATCCTGATGATTTACTTGCTCCAGTTTTGAGGGTTCGTTTCTTGTTCTTATTTGCACCTTAATTAATTTTTAATCAGGTGAAGCTCACAATTGGAAATTACATATTTAATGTTTTGTTTAATGACCTTTTGTGTAGGCATTGATTGAGAAAACAAATTTGAATCCAAGTGAAGTTGGAGATATTGTTGTGGGCACAGTTTTGGCGCCTGGCTCCCAAAGAGCAAGTGAATGCAGAATGGCTGCATTTTATGCTGGTTTTCCTGGTATGATTCAGAAACTTTTTTGCTTTTAAACACTTTGATTTGCCAAAAGGATCATATAACTGATATTAATGGGGCTATTTTCAAATGCAGAAACTGTACCTGTAAGAACTGTAAATAGGCAATGCTCATCTGGCCTTCAAGCAGTAGCTGATGTTGCTTCCGCCATCAAAGCTGGATTTTATGATATTGGTACGTGCATCTGTGCTTAAAGGGTACCTTCTACTAATACAAAATGCAAAGTTTTGTATCTGTTGTTTATTAAGACCTAATCTGTATGTCGTCTCTTAAACGGTTGTTAGTTTTCACCTCCACTAATTTCGGCAAAAAAGTAACAATTTTATTACACTTCTGTGGATTAAAGCAATCTACATATACCATGAGCAAATGGTTCCTAACATACAAAGGGGAGGTGAAAACCAGTGAGAGATGAATCGGTGGCAAATTTAATTTGTCATTTATTGAATTTCCATCCTTCTGAATCAGGGATTGGTGCTGGATTGGAATCAATGACTGCCAATCCTATGGCTTGGGAAGGTTCAGTCAATCCAAAAGTATATTTCTTTCTATCATGAAGTGCTATTCTTTTCACTGGTAAGGAGTGCCTTGCTATGTGTTAACATCTTGTCAATAAATCAGGTAAAAACTATGGCACAAGCTCAAGATTGTTTGCTTCCAATGGGTATTACCTCAGAAAATGTTGCTGGTCGTTTTGGTGTCACAAGGCAGGAGCAAGATCAGGCTGCTGTGAGTTGAATGATATGTCACTTTGGTGATTGATTTAAGTTCTCTCTGTAATTAGCGTCTTCTAATTGTCTACTCAGGTTGAGTCACATAGAAAGGCGGCTGCTGCGACTGCATCTGGCAAATTTAAAGATGAAATCATCCCAGTGAAAACTAAGGTATGAAAATTTTGATTAACTATTCTAAAATTGTTCACCTTTAAATTATCCTTTCTTTTCCACTGATTTATATTTTTGTTGAAAAAGATTGTTGACCCCAAAACTGGAGATGAGAAGCCAGTTACAATATCTGTTGATGATGGAATTAGACCAAATGCCTCAATTGCGGACCTTGGAAAGCTGAAGCCTGTTTTCAAGAAAGATGGAACAACCACTGCTGGTGAATAAGAGTGATATGTCAAAGTCGTACTCGGGAATTATAAACTTTCGTGCAATAACCTCTCAGGCTGCATTGCAGGTAATTCTAGCCAAGTGAGTGATGGTGCTGGAGCTGTGCTCCTTATGAAGAGAAGCATTGCAATGCAGAAAGGGATGCCAATCCTTGGCATATTCAGGTGTGCTATTTATGGTTAGAATGTTGCAGTATATGTGGAATTTTCTTATGATTCTCTTTCTCTCTCCAAATGAATGATTAATTCTTCTATCCCCCAAATCACCAAAATATCCCATTTCTTATCACATAGGTCTTCCATCCATATCTGGCAAAGTCTTGAAGTTTTTTGAGAGATTAATATCATAAATAAACCAAAATTTTGTCATAACCTATGTGTGATGTTCATGAGAGTTCTTCAGTTTCATCTCACTTCAAGATCTTATCGAATTCTATTGGATAATGACAAGTTTGAATAGTTCGAATAATTTGACAGACTAGCTTCAGTAGTCCACAGATCCTCAACATTTTCATGTTTTAAGTTGCCCTATTTTGTCTTTTGCGTTTTTCCACATTTCAATACTACACTGGCTACATCGAGTTTTATTTTCTTTCTTCCTTTGTAAGAACTCAACTTAGGTCACCCTTGTTGATGTCATGATGTGTTAAGCCTCTTTCAAAAAGTTATTCAATACTTCTTTTACTCAAAGAGTCGTGCCATTTCTAAGTAGTGGGTCATGAATTTTGCAACTATTGGAAATATGGACCACCCTTAACTGAAGTAAGAAAGGCAGGCTACTTTCTCAGTATAAAAGAATTTCTTTTGGTGCTCCTGCAGGAGCTTTGCTGCTGTTGGTGTAGATCCAGCAATTATGGGTGTTGGTCCAGCTGTTGCGATACCTGCTGCAGTTAAATCTGCTGGTCTCGAACTTGATGACATTGATCTTTTTGAGATAAATGAGGTAACCTCATGCAAAGCTTTAATTTACTTAAGTTTATGCTATTTTATAAAGCTTCTTCGTCACTTATCATGACCATGAGCAGGCTTTTGCATCACAATTTGTTTACTGCCGTAAGAAGCTGGAACTTGATCCTGAGAAAATCAATGTTAATGGAGGTGCAATGGCTATTGGACATCCTTTGGGTGCAACAGGTATTTAGATAAACTATTGGCTATTCATTTACTTGAATAACTCCCTAGTTCATCCATGTGATTAAGACTGCTTATAAAAATTGTGTTCTACATCAGAAATCGTGTAGAATCTATTGGAATGTATACGGCCATATGATGATCATGACAGCTCTCCATTTGAAAATATCTGGAAGCCAGTTGATATTTGAATTCACTTGTTTATTTGTCTAGTTGATGATTCTTCCTTGAGCTGTCATTCTCGATTGAAATAGTTTAGACATGTATGGCATACCTTCTATATGACAATATGTTCTTTGATGTGTCTGTTGTCATGGTGCGTAAATATGATTGGTGACTAATAGTTCTTGTCAAAATTCATGTTGCTTTTCTCCATAAACAGGAGCTCGCTGCGTTGCCACCCTGTTGCACGAGATGAAGCGTCGTGGAAGAGATTATCGATTCGGTGTGGTGTCAATGTGTATAGGTACCCCTTCTCTCTTTCTTTGTGTGCGTTCTTGGGCATGTGTATATGACTCTAGAGCATGTTTGGCTAAGCCAAAGAAATAAAGTTACTTTTGATTAACTTTTATTTTCAAACATGTTTGGATAGTTTCCTTTTCTTCTTACATCCAACTTCGATCAATGAAATAATTATTTTTTTAGCCAAACATGTGGTTTGACGAACGGATGATTTATATTTATTTGTGTGAAATTGAACTCCAGGCACAGGGATGGGGGCAGCCGCTGTTTTTGAACGAGGTGACTCCTGTGATGAGCTCCCAAATGCTCGACAAATTGACGCACACAATTTCCTATCCAAGGATGCACGATAAGTTCCCTATCTACTAAAGCAAGTTTCAATGATGTTACAGTTTCTACTTGGACGTCCACAATAAGGTTACTCAATAATTTGGAATTTGGAAATATTGTCCAAGGAATATAGCCACATTATACAATTGATGGGTTTTATTTCACTTAATTTCCTTTCGCCTTTCTACTTTCTACGAGGGGTTTGAAAAACTTGTGTCCATGTCTTCTATTATCTAGAATGATTTAGCACCCTTCACCTGTTTGGCCCCCATTATTTCACAAAAAATATGTTTAAAAAGGGAAAAGTTTTTAAGTTTACGTGTAATATTATTTTATTGAATAATGTTGTCGTTGATAAAAGAGAGAGAAAAATGAATTATATTTTATTGGGAGTCAAAACCGAGGCTTAATTTCATTGAATAAAAAGCTAATAATGTAAAATGAATTTTTCATACAAAAATCGAGTTAAATCCATCAATGGCTACCCAATTTTATACTTATTGTTTAACCATGGCAACCTAATTTGATTTTGTTTAACCATGGCCATCCAATTTTATACTTAGTATTATTATGATCATCCAATTTTTTATAGTGTTTCACTATAACCATTCAACTTCTTTTAACCATTTTCACTAGTTTTAAAAGGGGTAAAATAGTAAATTTGTATTATATATAAAAATTAAATTCTTAAAAATATAAAAGTTTTTTTTTTATTTTAAAAACATTTTTTTAAAATAAGTTTTTATTTTATTTTATTTCTCTAAGTAATTTTTTTTTAAAAAATAAGTTTTTATTTTGTTTTAAAAAAAAATTTTATTTGATTTTATTTTTTTAAGGAACGTTTTTTCTTAAAATAACTTTTTATTTTATTTTTCTAAGTAACCTTTTTTTAAAAAAATAAAATTTTATTTTATTTTAGTTTTTTTAAAAAAATGAGTTTTTATTTTATTTTAAAATGTATTTTTTAAAATAAGTGTTTTTATTATTTTTTTTTAAATTTTTATATATATATAATTCAAAGTTACCATTTTATCAATTTTAAAATTAATGAAATTTGTGAAAAGAAGTTGAGTGACAATGATGAAACGTTATATGAAATTGGGTGATCATGATGAAATAAAATCAAATTGAGTGGTTATGGTGATACTATGAATAAAGTTGGATGGACACTAATAGCTTGTTTGATAGAGATTAAAATCGGATTAAAATTGAAAAACTAGCCGTTATTGTTGACTTTTATACGAATGAGACCCAATAACGGTTATATTTTCAATTTTAATTGGATTAAAATTCCTCCCAAACACACTCTAAATGTAAAGTTGGGTAGCTATTAGTGTATNATTAAAATTCCTCTCAAACAAACTCTATATATAAAGTTGGGAAGCTATTAGTGTATTTAATCCTACAAAAATCATGTCAAGGATCGCTGTTAAAAGTATCTTCAAGAGACTATTTATAAAGAGCATCTTATATATAATAGAGATCGCCTTTAAATTTAGTCTCTCTCATTTTAATTCAAAACTCTTCAATTCACATACTTATTTTCAATCACACATTTACATCATGTTTGATGCACATTATTCTTCCAAGATTTAAATAGTAATTTGATGGAAAATAAGTGGTTAAAAAATAAGGAAAATTTTTGGATTTGCGTATAATATTATTTTATTGAAGAATACGTGGTTGAAAATGAAAAATATGTTTATAGAAGAATGGATATCAAACATGGCGTTATACAATAAAATATTTTGCAAGTAAATTCAAATTTTTATTTTTTTACTTTTTAATCACACATTTTCCAGAAAATTATTATTCAAAAATCCATTTTTTCAAAATAATGGCTATCAAACAAGGGCTTAGAGAGTTGAATTTTTTATATACTTTAATAATGCTTTGTATTTTGAATCTTCCTTTTTTTAAAGAAATATTTATTGATATTTTACCATCTTTTATTTAACATTCTTTTATATGTCAATGTTCAAGCAATACAAATAAAATTTGAAAAGTTTAAGAAATAAAGTATTGAAATATATACCTTATTAAATACAAAAATAAGAATAGAGAGTGAGTTTGACTTTTTAAATTAACTCATTCCCTATTTTAAAAAGTTATAATAGAGTGTTTAGAGTATGTTAAAGATGCTAGCCCATTTAGTTTGTTATTTCAGTTTTAAATTTTGAGTTAATTTTCAGTTTTCAGTTTTGAAAATCTATTTTAAGACTATTATAAACATGTTTGGTTTGTCATTTTGAAAAATTATTTCTCGAAATAGAAAATTAGAAAATATGTTTGGCTTGAAATTTTTAAAAAATATTTTATGATATTTTATTTTATTAGATTCGATTATTCAATAAAAATAAAACAATTTTATGTTAATATATTATTCAGTAATATATACATTTTAAAGTTAGTGAATCTTACAATATTTGTTATCTTTATAAAAGTAAAATAAATAATAAATAATAAATTGATTTTAAAATATAAGAAATAAAAATAAAAATTAATGGCATGAATTTAGAATATTTTTATATGTGCTCGTTTAAAGTTTATTTTAGAATTTTTATGTAAATAAAGATTAAGAGCTTGAATTATATATTCTTTTTAAATTTTTAGATTTTTTTCAGAATTTTTTTTTTAAATTATCAATTTTATTTTTTGAAATTATTGAATTTTAGTTTTTTAGAATTTTATAAATTTTTTTCAAATATTTTTATTAAAATAAAATTTTACTCAAACACTTGTTTTCCATATTTTGAATGTTTTCAAAATTTTCACCAAAAACACTTAAAACGTTAAAAACGCATTTTTAGTTTTATATTATAAATTTATCATTATTTTTGAAATTTTAATTTTAGAAATATAAGGCCAAAAACATTTTCAATATTTTTAAAAATTGAAAATTGAAAACAACTTGAAAACATCAAATCAAACTCACTAGAGTTTGATGTAAAATGCAACTTAAGTTAGTTTCCAGATGTCAAAAATAAGGGCTTGTTTGGTTTGTGTTTTAATTTTGAATTTTGAATTTTGAGTTCATTTTCAATTTTCTATTTTGAAGGTTTATTTTAATATTGCTAAAAATGTGTTACTTTGTCATTTTGAAAAATTATTTCTCAAATCGAAAAGTTAATACCATATTTACTTTGAAATTTTAAAAAATTTATTTTTTGACATTTCATTCCATGAAATTTGATTATTCAGCAAAAATAGAAAATTTTATTTTAATATGTGAAGTTATTTTTTTAGGATTTTAATTTTATTTTCTGAATGTAGTTTTTTATAATTTTATTTTAAAAAAAATTAAAAATTGTATTTGTTAGAATTTTATATTTTTAATTTAAAATTTTATTTAAACGTTTGTTTTCCATGTTTTAAATGTTTTAAGAATTTTCACAGAAAATATTAAAAATGTCAAAAAATTGTTTTAAGTTTTATGTTGTAAATTTAACATTTTTTTCAAAAATGTATTTTCAGAAAT